TTTGTTAATAAACTAATAAACTGCACAGCACTGGAGAGGAAACAACTGACACGGGTGGTGAGAACAGCACAAGGCATTGTGGGATGTCCCCTCCCAGACCTGGACTCCATTTACACAGACCGGGTCAAGAAGAGAGCTGGATCCATAGCGATGGATTCCAGCCACCCGGGTCACAGATTGTTTGTGCCGCTGCCATCAGGCAAGCGGTACAGGAATATACGGACTACAACAAACAGACTGAGAAACAGTTTCTTCCCCACAGCCGTCAGAGCCATTACTCCCTGCCGTCTCCCCCTCCCACACATATCATAACCCCCCCCACACACACACACACAGCCATGTTGTTCTGCACCTTGCACTGTCACATTTTCTGTGTTTTGCCATGATTGGACCTGCTGCTGCTTCTTTGGCATGGCTGAGTGCCTTTGGTTGATTTAGTTGTGTATGTTGTTATTATTATTGTTGTGTGTTTGCTTGTCTGTACTGTATATATTTGACCTTTTGCACGGGAGCTGCAATGGAAATTTCGTTGAATTCTGTTCAGTGACAATAAATGCTATCTATCTATCTATCTATCTATCTATCTATCTATCTATCTATCTATCTATCTATCTATTTTGTTATTACCTTAAATGCAAAATGTTTATATATTTTTTACAATCTTTGCATAATTACTAATGCTCTAAGTGGGTCTGTCAGCTATAGGCATGTTTTAGAATCTCTGTGTACCCCGGTTCCTGATTAATTGATTACTAAATTAGTTGACGATTATTTTAATAATGATTCATCACGATTAAACCGAATGATTGTTTCAATAGATATATATATATATATATATATATATATATATATATACTAAATATAAGTATTTAATAAAACACCTGATCTTTGAAGTTTTCTATTTCTTTTTGCAGACCTATCTATGGTTTAGACTGATCCCCAAAACAGAAAGAAACAAATATAGTTGCAGCTGTGAATATATACAAATAAGAGATTGGAAAAACATTTCCTGAATCATCAGTTTTCAAAGCGAGCCATACTCTTTAGATGGTTAGGTCAAAATCTGGTGATCTATCTTCTCTCAGCAGGATAACACACTGTGCCACAAAGCCAGCAATGAAGACAATGAGTTCACTTTTTCCACTTAACTCAGCAAACACCTGATCTAAAGCTAAGTTAGCACATGGATTGTGGAGGAACATAAGATT